AAAAAAAAAAAAAAAAAAGAAAAAAAAAAAAAAAAAAGCCTCTTTCGTCCAGTCCATATGTTTTTGTACATTTTGGGCATACTGTGCCTAGCCGATAGGTTTCTCCATGGCGCAGAGCGCAGCGGGTGCCTCTGTGTCTCTCACTGCGACAGCTGATGGAGCAGGAGCGCTGCATTAGGGGCACATCTTCGTACGCTATCCGTCTTCCATGGGCTTCCCGCGGTGATTCCCGCTGAGACGCCGCCGGGTGCCTCCCCGCTCCCACGCGCGAGCTCGGCCGCGGTGCCCCGCTGTGCAGCCGCGCACGGCCCTCGGTGCCGCCCGCACGGAGGCAGCCGGGCTGGCCGCGAGTTTGGCCGAGGGGCTCCCCGTGCGTGCCTTCCCAACGCCGCAGCCTTCGCCTTCGTTGTTTTCGGTCATGCCGGTAACCGAGCGGCGAGACGAGCCGGCCGACTGGGATGGGCCGGCGCGTTTCCAGGGCCGGCTGCCCGCAGTGTACCTCCAGGCGGGGACTGGCCGTGGGGAACAGAGTTCTTCCTCAAGTGAAAAACAAGAGGAAGAGGTTTACCGACTTGGAAATTGCGTTCATTTCTCCATCTCTCCCCAAAATCGGCGGGCAGCCATCTGCACAATGAGGCACCGAGCACGGTTGTTGACGCAGCAGGGATCCAGGCAGCAGCTTGTTACCTTCTGAAGTGCCATTCCCCTGCACACACGTACACATACTTCTGCATGAATGCCTCCTCCACATCCTGGTCGTACTTTGCAGAGCAGGGAGGGGCAGCGAGCAGAGACCCACCGTGCCTCTCACGGTGAAGGTTGCAAAGGAGAAAGGACTTTCGGAGAAGGGTGGAGAGACCTTGCAGTCACCTGCAGCAGGTTACTGGGGCTTGGAGGCGAGGAACGGTGGAGGCGGACACCTACCTGGTCAGGATACACCCAGCTGCGGGCACAGAGCAGCCGGTCCCCGCCGGTACTCGGGTTCCGATGGCCGGCCGTCGCCGAGGGAAGCTGAGGAAATACCACTGCAGGTGGGGGAGCCACCGTGAGCAAGCTGAAAAACGGATCTGCATTGGTTAAAGTTCCAGAGCAGAGAGGGCTTGGCCAAGATCATAATTTCCATTATTTCTGTCAAATACAATATTATCAGAGACTACAGCAGTACTTACTGTAAGTACTGAGGGAAAGTATTACATACGGAGTGGAGTCTCCGGGCCGTGCCAAGGGACAGTTAAACCAGATCCACTTTCCCACAGATCCCCCGAAGAGGCCTCAGTCTCTACGGGGGCGACCATGCGCTCTGCCCTTGCCATTAGCTCTGCAAGAAAGGGAGCAGCTGAGAGCAGGTGAGGGCCTCGCTCCCCTCTTTCATCTTCCGGACTGGGTGATGTGTGCCTGGGTATTTGAAACCAGCCAGCAAGCACGGGATGTGCACCCCGCTGACCCCAGAAGTGCTTCTCATTGCACCTAAAATACAAACGCGATCGAAGGTGTCGTCCAAAGGAGGTGAGGGTGGGAATGGTACGGGTTGAGAGCAGCTTCAGGGCCGGGAGCTGTGCACGGGAGCCACGGGTCTCGGCCGGACCCCTGGGCTGTGCACGGCGTGTCGACAGAGCGGGCACGATGTCCGGCCCCTCTGCACAAGGCAGCAGGAGCACTCCAGTGGGAAGGGCGCAGTGTGCGGACGTGAAAACTAATCGTATTTTAAACCAGGGAGGGAAGGGGAAACCTCTTTTATAGGGGATGTGGGAAGGGACCTAACACAGTCCTGCTTAAGAGAAACGTTATACAAGATACTTGAAAAGAAATAATTTTTTAAAAAAACCTAATTAAAAGTATATAAATCACCCATCAGAAACAAAGAACTATGTGGAAGGAAACGTTTCTGGATAGAGACACTGTGTGTGGCATAAAAGACGATTGAATACATAAGGGCTTCATTAAATTCCCAATAGATAACATTTGGCTAAATCTATCCCTAGATTAAAACTCTGCATAATAGCACCATAAACGAAGAAGTTTCTTTTTGTGTGGTCCTTCAGGATGAACTGATTGAAACATTAGCCCCCTCATAGAGCAATCCCCTCCCGATTCAGATCCAGTGATTCGTCTCTCAGCCCTACGGGGATATGATGAGCAAGGAGACGGGTTAATGAATCCACACTTTGTCTCTGGAAGGAGGAGGAGGCGACACTATACTGCATGTACAGTTTATATTGTTTAGGGCCCAAACAATTTTGGAAGAATTGTTCGTCCTCGGTCCTTGCGAGGACTACACTGTTAGCTTCTCTGTTAGTCTTGGAAGCCGCGGAGAGCATTAGCATGCGAATGGGGCGCTGCGGCCCGGCGGTGCTGCGAGCTCATCAAAGGGCTGTGGGGCCGGCTCCTTTTCTGGCAGCACCTGCTCTGCGGCAGCAGTGGGGAAACAGGGATCCTCGGGACCGGGACCGAGGCCGGCGGCTTCCCCGCCGACTCGAGGAGAGCAGGCAAAAGGTCCTTCACCAGGACCCTGGACCTCTTACTCGACCCCCTTTTCCTTACAGAAAAAAAAAAAAAAAAAAAAAAAAAAAAAAAAAAAAGGAAAAAAAAAGAGAGAAATCTATACTACCTACTGCAATTTGCTTCTGTCACCTTCCTTAAGCAGCTCCCAAGGGAAGATCTTGTCCCCACGGGATGGAGGCAACCGGCGAAAAACGTGGAAGGAACAAGAGGCCAAGCAGTTTGCTTGCCATATACCTCTGAGGAGACCTGAGGGATGGGCAGTGGGCACACTCAGACCCCACTGTTCACCGGCGTGGGCCGGGCTGGACTCTGCGTGGGGGAGGTCGCCAGGCTCCCCGGGGTCTACTGCGGAGAAGCCAAGAGAAACAAACACAGTGTGGATCGCTGGAATCTACCCTTCTCATGTGACTGCTCGCGGAGACCCCTAGGACTCGAGCAGACAGAACCCAAACTGAGGGCCAGCAGCATCCCTCCTCGCACCGCCGCAAGGCCACAGCTGCCTCCTCTCCCGGAAAACATTTCCCTGTTTGACTTTATCTGCCTTTTCGAGGGGGGCCTCAGCTTAGCTCGGTACTCCGCGCTGCACCGGCCCGTGTCGGCCCGGCGCATCCCCCGGCCAGTCCCGGGGAAAGTGAATTAATCGATCTCTCGTGAAAAAAACTCAGTCTCCCAGGAGAATAGGTGCACGGTGCCTCTCGGGTATTTTCCCTTTTGTTTTAGAAATTAGAAGAGACTTTGCTTCTTTTTCTGCTAAGGAACCCGGAACACCCAAAGAGGCCTGCTAGCTCCAGAGTGTAAATGGAGCCCAGCAGAGATCTTATGTCCAGTCTTTCTGCTTTTGGAAACCCACTATTTTAACACAACATTGCTACAAACAAAACGGAGAAGTACCACTTTTCCATCTACGAGAATATTTAAAACCCAGGCGACAAAATACTTCTACAAGTAAAACCCCTCCCTCACTCCAAAGAGCACTAAAAGGCATCCCTCCCTTTTTTTTTTTTTTTTTATTATGAAAATTCACATATTTGATCCCCGAGTCTCCTAAATTGTTATAAATACAGTCGTAGTTGAAAAGTGCCTCCCTGGTTTGAAAAATGCATATTCCTAGTCCACAACAAACATTCACACGTCTACTCTTAAAACATGCGATTCTCTTTTCCATATATAAGCTCTGAATATTTGAGGCCGTATTTTTGGTTGAATTTTTTTTAGTCTATAAAATAGATACCTGCGGATCTTAAAAACGAGTGTTTGGAATCAGAAAAGCTACTTTCATGGTTGGTTTTGTACATCCTTACTTCGACAGCTTATAAACTTAATCAACTCGTCACACGAGGATATTACAAAGCGCATTTTATATTTTATGTATTGAAAAGTAGAAACACATGCCACTATTATGATCATCACAGAAACATAAGTGTCTAGAACAAATCTCTCTTAAGTTCAATGTATGCCCTTCATTAGTAGTATTTTCCTTTGGGCCTCTTGGAAACCAAACTATGATGCATTTGTGATTTAAAACACACCCAAAAGTATAAAAATAGTTTTAAACTGGCTTTTTAATCAATCCCCTGATTGGTGCCTTGAAGGACTGGGCTTTACTCCCTCCAGAGAGACCTATTTCTATTTATCCCCTCTTTCGTTCCTGCTGTTTTTTGTGGAGTGTTTTTTTTTTTTTTTTTTGTTTTGTTGGGGTTTTTATGTCGGTGTTGTGTGGATTTGTTGTTTTTGTTTGTTTGGGGTTTTTTTTATTGTTTGGTTTGTTTTGGGTTTTTTGTCATTCTTTATCTGCTAGGGTTAACAATGCATTGACTGCAAAGATCGTATTTTTATTTTCTTCTTTGCAGTCAAATCTGCACATAATAAATTTCAAGCTAGAATATTCCTTGACTATTGTGCTATTAATCCCAAAGAAAAAAATATCAGTGTCCCAAAAAAAGGAGAAGTGCTAAGGAAGGAAGGATCCAAAGCCAATTGTTTGGCTGGGCTCCTTTGGTCTTTGGGGTTGGTTTTGACTTTTTTTTTTTTTTTTTTTTTTGAAAATTAAAAATTTTATTTTTGAAAATGTGTAAAAATTTTACATTAAAATGGTACAATAATACTTGCCAGTAATTTTAACAATATTCCTTGTAAAGAATACGCATAAAGTACAAAATAAAAAACTCCATAAGTCTATTATAATACAAAACACAGGTTAAAATAAGAAATGATAATCTTGACTTTCTTCTGTGTAAACACGTTAATCTTTTCTTTTATAAAAGTACATGAGACAAGTGTACTAAATGAAAAAGTATTGCTCTGCTGTCCTCCCTCAAGCCTTTTTTCTCTCCTGTACATTACTGTTTTCAAGCTCCTAGACCTGAGAATCTCTGAACTTTAGCGGTTTAGAGACAATATTTATCACCGTATTTGTTTCTTTTTAAGGAGTAGCGAGTAACTTTCCGATGTAGTGACCGCCTGCCCGTGCAGTATCTAGATCTACACCTGGCTTTGCACTAGTGAAGGTCACGGGAGGTCCGTCGCTCGCGGCGGACGGCTCCCGAGTCCCGTCACAATTATCCCCACGCAAAAACAGGCAGCCCCTGCGGGCAGCGTCCGCCGGGCGTCCGAGCGGCGGAAAAGGAGATACCCCAGATCCTACCTTCGGAAAGACTCCCAAACACTTAACAGTTAGAGATCCGTGCCGCGAAGCCGGGGGTGGCGGGCAGGGCGGCGGCAGGGGGCAGGCCGCTCCCGGCGCTCCCCAGCGAGCGGGCCAGCCCCGGCGCCGCGGTCGACTGCGAGGCGCAGCTGCTGCCCGCGCCGGGGCCGGGGCTTCCCCCGATGATGCTCTCGATGGAGAAGGGCGAGCGGGCCAGCGCCGCGCCGCTGCCGGGCTTGGCGGAGTGCAGCGAGGCCGCCAGCGCCGGGCCCAGCGGGTGCGCGTAGCCGAAGGGCGTCCGTGCCAGCTCCGCCGCCGGCAGCAAGGGGCCCGGCGGCGCGGCGGCGGCGGGGGGCAGAGCCGCACCGGGAGCGCTGCCGGGGGCGGCAGGGGGCTGGCGGGGCGGCGGAGAGTGGTGGTGGAAGGCGAAGAGGGCGGAGTGGGGGTGGTAAGGCTGGAGCTGGAGACCGTAGCCGCAGCCGTAGGGTCCGTAGGCGCAGGGCGGCTGCTGCGGAGGCTGCGGCGGAGGCTGCGGGAGGAAGGCGGCGGGGTCCACGGCGCGGAGCAGAAGCTCGGGCGCCGGGAGCTGCTGCCGCTTGAAGCGCTTTCGGCGGCGCAGGAAGCTCCCGTTGTCGAACATGTCGGCGGATTCGGGGTCAAGCGTCCAGTAGTTGCCCTTGCCAGGATTGCCGGGCTCCCGGGGGATCTTGACGAAGCAGTCATTGAGGGAGAGGTTGTGGCGGATACTGTTCTGCCACGCAGGGAACTTCTCCCGGTAGTAGGGAAAGCGCCCGCTGATGAACTCGCAGATCTCGCTCAGCGTCAGCCGCTTCTTGGGGCTCTGCAGGATGGCCATGGTGATGAGAGCAATGTAGGAGTAGGGTGGCTTCACCAGGCTGTTCTTGCCGCCGCCGCTGCCCGCCCCGCCGCCGCTGCCGCCGCCGCCCGCCCCGCCGCCGCCCGCCGTCGCCTTCTGCGGGCCACCCCGCGAGGGGGGCCGAGAGCCACCGGCAGCATCCCCACCGCCCGCCCCGCCGCCGCCGCCACCTACGCCTCCACCGCGCACGGGAGACCGCGGCAGCAGGGCGGCGGTGTGGAGGTCGCCCACATCCTCCTCGTCCTCTTCCTCGTCGTCGTCCTCGTCCTCCTCCTCGTCCTCGGCGTAGGAGCGGCGGCGGCGGCGGGTCCGTGGCTCCTCGTCGTCCTCCTCGTCGTCTTCCTCGCCCACCACATCGATGTCGGTCTCCTCAGCCAGAGTCGACGCCTCGGACATCTCCGAGCTAAGGGTCATGGCGCGGCGGCGGGGCAGCGCATCGGTGGCGGCCGGCGCGGCGCGGCGGGCGAGCGGGCGCTTTCCCCG